GGCATTCTGGTGGACGCCGTTGCCCCAAACCAGTGCACCTCCACGTCCTTACAGGTATGGCCGTGCCGACGAGCAACCAGCGGCTTCGGGTCCTCGACGCGAGGCAATGCTCATCACAGAGGCTGCAGCTCGCCAAGGCGTAAGAGGAATCGATGCCAGAGTCTCAAGCGCGTCGAGAGACGTCGCCGGTCGAGGCATGACTTCTTTTGAAGATGACGTTGTTCAGAAGGCGAGAATGGTGCGGAAGGATGCCACTCTTGAGGCCTATTCATCCATTGTCGACCGTGACAGCAGCACTTACTGCTTATGCTGTATCCCTCACCAATGCCGGTTACACCCGTTTTCGAATTGTTTGCCCAACCCTGGAAGGTCAAAGGCGCAGCGCAGGTTGGTGTCCGAAGCTGCGCGCCGCCGTGATGACCTCCCAAAATGCCGTTTGATTTCTTTCTCAGAAGTGGTGCGAACCTCTGTGCAGCGGGACTGGACTAATGTACGCCAAGTGATACGCCTATCGCTTTTACCTGGTAGGGTGCGAGTCTTTCCTTTTGGTACACCTTCTTGGCTTTGGCCACGGAGGAGCTGGAGCTCACAGTCACAGGGCGTGATGCATCAATTGTTGCTGATGACGTGGGTACTATCCTTAATGATGTGCTGGTTCAATGTCTAAACTTAGTATATACGCGACACAAGTCATGGTGGCTTATGCTACCTGATTTGCAGGTTTGGGTATTGACGGACGAAAGTAGCTGACTAGCTCTGAGTGGTGAGATTTTTAAGCGAAGTTGAACAACCTGAGACCAGCATGTAGTTTTAGGGTTTGAGAACTTACTGAAGCACAAGACATGATGGTGCACATGATGTGCTTTTCGGGTTTGGGGTATTGATGGACGACAGCTAGTCTAGAATGGTGCTGGGAGGTAAAGCATAGATCGACAAACTGAAACCAATCGGTGTCGTTGCTCAATCGTCTTCAGGGTATGATGGTTACAGCACGATTTTGTGTAAGCTGTAACCGATAAGGTATTCTTATGTTAAACATGCAAGGGAAGCCTTGGTGGCCGAGACCGTGCAGCTTTAGGGTTTCAGGCCAAGACGTAAGTAAGCAACAAAAGACATGCTGGCTTGCGCTACGTGATTCTTGAGCTTGGGTATTGATGGACAATAGCTTGTCTAGCTTGGTGCTGAGTTGTTGATCGTAGTTGAACAAGTGGAAATCCATCAGTGTCGCCGGTTTCACGACACGGTGTCGTGCTCAAGATTCTTGAGTGCGTGATGGTCGCGAAACGGGCTGTGTACTTACATGGTTTAACGTCCAAGCTTGAGCAAGCGTCGAAAGACATGGTATCTTACATTACGCCCTGAAGCTGATCTAGAGGTGCTAGCCGAAGGGTGCGGTGAGAAAGATAGCGCCGAGTCAGCCCATGCCCGACTTGAATTGTCGTGCACATCGGCTACGTGCTCCTCCGCGTTGCCAGCCAATCGAAGGGCAGACCGTGGGGCCCGCAAAAATAAATTCAACCAAATGTGGCAGGCACCAGCGGCCGTTGGCTAGCTACGAGCATCGGGATAGAGCACTCTGCGAGCTGTCGGACAGAGGTCGCCGATGAAGGCAGGCTAGAATCATCCACCTGCCGGCTTCGTCGAATTTTGTGTCAAGACGAGGGATAGAGCTAGCCGACAATGTCCCGGATACTGGCTGGGTACGCTGCCGAAATGCTGAGCTAACGCCGTGGGGCTCTTTTTCGTCGTACAGTTGGTTTGTGATAGTTGCCGGGCTAACCAACGCAATAAACGCATGCGGACGATCCTGGATACACACACCTGCCATGGCTGCAGGCCAAAGCTGCCGGAAAAGGCAAGGATAGAAGGTGGGGCTTTCCTCCAGCCAGAGGCTAGATCACCACACAGCCTGCCGGACAAGTACGGTGTGAGCAAGTGCTCTGTCGTGTGGCTAGGTTCGGCAGCCAGACAGAAGTGGATAGAGGCTCCTCGCATCTCTCGGCGACACAAAGGGCATTTCATCTCGAGTTTGGAGACTAGTCCGACGTGTTAACCGCGCTCTCGGATAGAGAGGAATGAGGGAACGCCCGTCCGATAGAACTGGGCTCAGCAAGCCTGTGACGCAGAATCGCATCCAGCGTAAAGAGTGCAAAGGGCGAGGGTGCAAAGTGCAAGGGGCGAGGGTTCAAAGTGCAAAGGGCGAGGGTTCAAAGTGCAGGGGCAGGGGCGAGGGTTCAAAGTGCAAGGGGCGAGGGTTCAAAGTGCAAGGGGCGAGGGTTCAAAGTGCAAGGGGCGAGGGTTCAGGCTAGCTTGTTCAGGGCATGGATGGACACGATACCCAAGTTCTTGGTCAGCTTCACTGGCGAAGCCGACCTCAAGGCAGTCGTTGCTACTTGGCGAAGGACTTCTCGATTGATCCAAAGGCCAGCCTGACCAATCGGGCCATTGCTGCGGCTTGGAGATCGGGAAACGGCGAATGAAACCAGTACTCATCTAGGAGGCAAGCCTTGGCCCAAAAGTTTGGAGAGCCCGAGTTCAGAGGACACCCGACGAGCTAGAGATGGGTTCAGGGCTGAGCTCCTGAACGAAGTGCTATCTTGGGACGAGATAGATCCGGAGACGCTGGTGATCACTGGACCAGCAAGGACGCCGTGGTCCTGAAGAAGGCTATCTCGGCGAACTGTGCTTGATGATCGGGCTCACCGCCCATGGCGAGCCGAGCTGAAGGATATTGGTTTTCAGCTATTCGAGAAATGCAAGGACGACCTTTCATGAGACTACTGCTATGGGCTACGGTCGAACGAGGCTAGTGGGTCGCTAGCCCCACCGTGCCGTGGACCCTTGTGCTATCGTATGAGAATGCGGGGATGCTGAGGGGATAAGCTTCACAGTTGTATTGGTTCAGCCCTGGAAAGATGCGGCTACCAAGCCAAGGAGAGACAGTTCACGACTCTGCTTTCCTCGTGTTCTCAGAGGCCCCAGCCCTGGAACACGGATAGACCTCCGAGCAAGAAGGACGGCAAGGGCAAGAGTAACAACAAGAAACATAAGGTCGAAAGGATAAGTACAATCGCACCGCGATATGTTTTCATATTAATGCTAAGCAGGTCTGTAGCCGCTTCGTTCATGTTTGTATGAAGTGCCGTGGCGAGCATCCAGCTACGGCATGTGCGGGCTCGGCGCCTGCGCACGCTACCTCTTCTCCGGCAAGGATAGGCGTGGTAGCCTACAAACGCTCCCTCTCGACTCACCAAGGCAAGAAGTACTTGGATATGCAAGCGAAATGGACCAGCGACATTGTGTCGTGATGTCACCCGCCGTGTGCTACCTTGCAAAGAGACCAGGCGACCCAAGGCAATATCTTCGCGGACTTCTCCCTTCCACCGACCCAATCCGTCCTGGAGCAGCCTGAGACCTTGAAGCTATGCCAGGACGCGCCGGGGAGAGCGGCCGGCGACAATGTGGCAATGGCCACAACACGCCGAGCTAACCTCACTACAGTCACTACAGCTATACACTCGGTGGCCTTCCACCGAGGCCCTTGTGGACCAAGTCCGGGAAGCCGAGCATGGTTTGATCAGTTGCCTCGATCCAGTGCCAAAATGGATGCCGGACATGGATAACACAGGCCACTACGTGGGCTTGAGGTATGGTGACATCCACCATCGTGGGACAGGCTGCGCTCAAAGCTTCGCGAGATAGTGCGGCAGGGGAGAAGGAGAAAGAAAAGGAGAACGAGAAGGAGGCTTTCCAACGGCTGCCAGTTAGTTCGTGATGACCAGCTTCACAAGGAGATCCTCGGGCTCTTCCACAAGTGGATAGAAGGACATGACGTCAGCGAGGAAGATAATGGATGTACCACTTGGACAACCCTTCCGCCTACAGAGCGAGGAGCAAACCTCGTGCATGTTAGACAAAGCTCCCTGGGAGCCGGCGCTAGCTTGGGTCCCGAACTGCATTTCGGTACAGGGGCCACAAGGAGTTCGTGCGCTAAGTTCGAGGAGGACGTCGCCGAAGGGAGAGTTCAAATCCAGATTCGGGCTCCTCTTTGGCCGTGATTTACGAGGATGAGATGAGGAGAAGGATAAGAAGCGGATAATCCACGATGCCACCCATGGTGTTAGGGTCAACCACCGGGTACGTCGCCGGGATAAGATCAGAGCAGGATGGTGGTGGGTGGATAGTAGGCGAGCGCACACACCCGCACACATGGCCGGCCCAACCATGATGACGCCGGAGTCTAACCCGACCTGAGAACAGAGCATCCATGGCCGAACCATGATGACGTCCATGGTCCCATCCGTTCTGAGAAAAGGAGCATGCATGGCCCAAGCGCGTGAACACCTGCATGAACACGCCAACACCGGCACGAACACGCGAACACCCGTGCGAACCTGGTACACCCACACGAACACGAACACCCGTGTGAACACATCAGTGCATTCAAGCACCAACGTGAACATGCGAACAACCCCGCAAACACCCACGACCACCCGCCAACATGTGAACACCCACAGGAACAAGCGAACACGCCAACACCCGTGCGACCACGCGAAGACCCGCGCAAACACTTGAACGTGCGAACACGCGTGCGAACATGCGATCACATGCGAAATGAACACGCCCGTGGACACGGGAAACAAAACTGTACCAGCATTCATACGTCCTTTTTGAGCTTCATAGGTGTTTTTTGTTTTATTTTTTGGGAAGTTATAGGACGCCTGCAAAAATAGGGTTTTCACATCCGACGTGCCAAGTTTTTCTCGACTGGAACCATCCAAAACAGCTGTTGTGGAACTTCCAGCCCGTGCCAATTTCTGCAGTGCATTTGTGATTGAATTTAAGCCAAGCAGAAATGCGATGGTAGTTGATGCATCGGACTCCGCATCCGCAACTTGAGCAAATTCTGACCCAAGAGTCGTGCATCTCGTCGGTGAGTTGGGGCAGCAGCTGAGGGTGTGAGGTCGTAGGTGTTCTTCTGGACTGCGGATTTCTTGAAGGCCTGGAACTGGCTGGAATTCATCGCGGGTTCCGCAGATGAAGGTCGGGGGAGATGTGGGAGACTTACGCAGACAGGCGTGCTGAGCGCTAGAAGCAGCTGTTGGCATGTCGCTTCGTGCTTCGACCAAAAAGCAGGATGCTCGTTTCTGCTGACAGCACGAGGTGCGCGTGAACACGGTCATCAGCTCTGGTTCCCACCTCGGCAATGTGTCCGCTGGAGACTCGGGAGCTCTTGCACATGCTGAGGGTTGAGTTGAGACAGTGTTACTGTGACAATACCGGAACTCTTCGAGTTTGCGGCACATGTGAGGCTGTGAGAGCCTTCCTTTTCCTGTTCTTTGGCATCGTAGGTGGCTTGGAAGTCTGGAGGCCAGATGGGGGAGATGGGATGCTGCGGGTGTTTCGGAACGGTCGCAGTGAATGGATAAATACACAAATAAGAGGTGACTTCCAGGGTGAAGATGCAGCTTTGTGGTGGCTCCGGTCATGTTCAAGTCCGTCACACCATAAGCCGTCTTGGGCGCAGGTGTCACTCTCATGAGCGGTGCTTCTAATCGGCTACGCTGCACAGCTCAGAATTCCGCTCCCCGGCAGCAGCTGAACGGTTGGCCCAGTAACAAGCACGACTGTCTGCTCGAGCCTCAGGTTCCAGTCCTTCAAAAAGGCACCGGGGCCCAGTGTTGGTCAAGACCATGGAGCGTGACTTGGGGATTCTTTCCAGAGTCCTCGCACACAGACGTGCTCACAGGTCCTGGCCCTATGCACGAGACGACCACCTTTGTGGCGGTGCCTGCAACTGCAGGGTGCTCTGTAAGGCCACGAGACGAGACTGTGCCTGATTCCGTGCCTTGAGACTCTGAGGCGAAGCTTGTGGCGGCTTCTGTGGTAGCCGTTCGAGGATGGATGCAAGGTAAAGTACTTTACCCACACCTAAACCCCCAAAGTAGGTAAAATAATGGCCCAATACCCGTAGAAGGCTGTTATTCTACACACATTTGGGGTCCAGTCAAGCTGGGTACAGCAGTCGCAGTCTTCGCGGTTTGGGCGGGATTCACTGTGCAGCACGGCTCGCACATCACCTCTCGAAGCCGTAAGATGAACGGGAAGACGAGAGCATGACAGATCATGCTAGCAAAGCCAGCATACCCCGAACCGAGACCACACGAATAGCAGTAGTGTAGGGCTTTATAATTAGAATAGGGTTTTGGGGGCTCCTTGTTATAATTATGGTATATATGTATATCATATACCCCCAAAATTGAAGCCCCTATAACAGCATCAACCCACAAGCAAAGCCTCCATTCTTGGCAAATCTGCCTCCGCCCCGTAGAGCGGACGACGTGGCCAGCGGCCTACGAAACACCGACAAAGTCCAGGGGTGGGGGGGGGCTCAACGTCAGCTGGATCAATTCACTTTGTACGCCAATGATGGTCAGAATCTGGCCAGGTTTTGGACTGCCGCAAAAAGGATCGAGCATCTAGGGCCACCTAGGGTCCCGGATCGAGTCTATCGCTTCTTTCGAAACTGCAGCAGTTCCAGGAGGCTGGGCAGTCAGATGAGGCCTTGGTCATGACCTTGCATCAAGCTCAGCAGCTTACAAGAGTCGAAGGGTCCCGCACACGGGCAGCCCAACAACCCGCCGGAAAGAATTGAATTAATCCCCGGGCGGAGAAAAAATACACTCGAAAAAGCAGGAGGAACGGCAGACTCTTGAACCCAAAGCTCCCAACTCCTTGGATGGCCCGACAGCGCCTCGACACCCACCCACACACGCACGCACAGCATGCCGACATGCTGCGTAAGTCTCTCAACATCTGCCAACCTTGAGTTGCGCAATTCCAGATCCCTGAGTCCGGATGACAACGCCGAAAGCCCTGAACCGACACAAACTTCAAGTCTATGCACAGGTCCGAACCGATAACCTTAACCTGGAGCCCTTAAGCCTGGAGCCCCCCAAAGTGCTCGGCACGGCGCCGAACACGCGCGCACCGCGGCCAGAGCATGGCCGAGCAGTGCCAGGCAACAAAGCACGTACCTAAACCCCCCAAAGTAGGTCAAATTATGGCCCAATACCAACACCCACAAAAGGCCATTATTCTATATACTGTTGGGGTCCAGGTAGTTGTTGTTTAGTTTCGGGTTTTTGGGCTTTTGGATGTCTGGCCCAGTCTTCGGAGCTTCATAAGGCTTCGAGCAACTCTTAGGAGTGGCATGTATCAGCCGATCTAGAAGAGACCTCCCAAAGCGCTGGAGACAGATAAGTGGTTTAAGGCCTATAAGAATCTGCATATAAACTGTATACTGTATATAGGTACATGGAGTCTTAAACCCTAAACAAAAATAGAAGCCTTATAGCAACCCTTGAGGAGGCTTCTGCAAGGACCTGTACCCTCGATATGTGGCTTGAGAAGACGTGCGTGAGGAGGTGGCTCGAAGAGTCCGAAGGTACATGACGTAGGGGCATTCATGACAAACACATGATGTGGGGGTATATTAGACGGTACTGATCAAGGTACAAGATAGGATTTGTAAAAGGAAACTGCAACTAGATATTCATATTGATTTTTTGGTGCTGGCCAAGGCGGAAACGAAACTTAGGTTGGACAGTAGCCTGCTAGGTTTGGAATCGGGTGGCAGGCAGGTTTCCAGGCTTCCATAGCCTTTCCTACTTGTATCATGGGGAACTAAAGATTAACCTTTCTGGTTATATAGGGATTATATAGGGACTATACTACCAAAAAAAGCTTGAAGGTCACCTACTCTACTACTAGGCTTTAACAGCGCATCCGTCGAAGATCTCCTTGGAACTTGGAGTTTCGCGGGTGGGAGTCGAGACGACGTAGGAGCCACCAGCAGGTGGTTTCAGGATCTGCAGGTCCGAGTGGGTGGTTGTCAAAATTAGGGCCCCTTTTTGGATACCCCAAAAAATAGGTGGCGTATTACAATAGGGACCCAACAAGGGACTCTAATTTTGACAACCACCCGAGTAACATGCGGAGTAGACGATGAGTGGCGCTACGGTACTCTACATTTAGCCAAGAGGTGTGTCAGTTGAAAACACACTCAGCCTTAACCCCACCTGAGAAGTGTGAACCTGGGCCTTGTCTGGGACGCCTCGGGGCCCAGTCTCGCACAAACGGCGCCTTGATAGTTTGAATGGGGTTTTGGGGAATCTTATACTATAATAAAAATACGGAGCCCGCAAAATAGTATTGGTAATATTGGTAATTATTTAGGCCCCTATATCAATCAACCGTGAACCAAAACTCTCTTTCCGAATCCTGTCTGGGTGATGTCGCTTGGCACCGAGATTTCTTCTCGAAGAGCAGCGTGAGACAGGACTGCAAACATGGACACGAACGCCAGGACCAACGGGAGGAGCTGAGGCTCAGCTTCGGCGCGAATGGCAGGCCGGCGGGAGCCTGGAGCGTTGGCTGAGCTCAGGAACGCGCTACCCTTCGCCCTGCCTTCGTGCGTTGGAAGTGATCCTAAAAAATTGATGCCTCAGGGAACCCTGAGACGAGATGAAGCTTCCTAATTATCACGCTGTTGTGCGACAATTTCCATGTCGCAGATGTGGAGTCCACGTCTTTGACGCTGAAATCTTGCGCATGTACCACGGTTTGTGATGTTTTTGCATTTGGCAGCCTGTTGCACAGCTTGAAGCTGCATTACCAATGTGGCGCAATAGTTTTCGAGCCACAGCCTTTTGGAACATACCACGCAGCTGTGCGATGAGATGTCGACTTGGCAGCCACTGTGAAACCGAAAAAACGAAGCCGATGTCCGATGATTTCCACGCCGCAACTTGTTGGAGATGCCATGCCGCTGGAAACCGAGATACCACGCTATACCATGCGGTTGCGAAAACTGTTCTGCACGTCCTGCCGACCACGCGCAGCTTGGAACGGAAATACAACGTTTCGTTCTTGACACCGAAATGCATCGAAATGCCATGCGTCGGTGTTTCCAACCAAAAGAGCCTATATTGGAGACGGCACGCCGCTTGCAATAGAATTGCATTGGTTGTCGGAATCCGGCCTGCCACGTTGCCGTACAATTTTGCCAAGCGGAGGCGCTTCATGTGCAACTTGAAGCCGGTGCACAAACTTCACAATGGGACGTGTTTCAACAAGCTTGATGGCTGCTTTTGCAGCTAAGCAAAGATTCGCAAATTGGATCTTGTTAAAATGCACAGCTTCCTCCCAACTTCTCTTCCACGATCATGAACCTTGAAAGTCGGGATTCCACGTTTCGGTGCTGCATATAAATTCCAAACAGCACTCGTGATGAAAGCAGGATGTCAAACGGCCGTGCACAAATACCAGGCGAGACACCGTGTTCAATGCATAGAAATGATTGAAACGACCAGCTTGACGCTTGGATGCCACGTGGCTGTGCATTCACGTCGACGCCGGTGCTGTCGCAAACGACCAGCCTGACACTTGGATGCCACGCGGCTGTGGATTCACGTCGAAGCCGGTGCTGATTTGAACGACCAGCTTGGCGCTTGGATGCCATGCGGTTGTGCATTCACATTGCTTTCTGTGCTGATAAACAGGACCAGCTTGACGCTTGGATGCCACGCGGCTGTGCATTCACGTTGAAGCCGGTGCTGATGTCTTCGAGCACCTTGACGTCGAAGCAGTTGTTGTGATTCAACCGACCAGCTTGACGATTGGATGCCACGCGGCTGTGCAGTCACGTCGACGAAGGTGCTGATTTACACGACGACGTTGATGCTTGAATGCCACGCGGCTGTGCATTCACGTCGAAGCCGGTGCTGATTCAGACGACCAGCTTGACGCTTGGATGCCACGCAGCTGTGCATTGACGTCGAAGCCGGTGCTGATATGTAGACGACCAGCTTGAAGCTTGGATTCCACGCGGCGGTGCATTCACGTCGAAACCGGTGCTGATGTGAACGATCAGCTTGATGTTTGGATGCCACATGGCTGTGCATTCGCGTCGACGCCGGTGCTGATTTGAAAGACCAGCTTGACGCTTGGATCCCACGCGGCTGTGCATTCACGTCGAAGCCGGTGCTGATTTGAACGACCAGTTGGACGCTTGGATGCCATGCGGTTGTGCATTCACGTCGACGCCGGTGCTGATTTAAACGACCAGTTTGACGCTTAGATGACATGTGGCTTTTCATGCACGTCAAACTCGGCGCTGATTTAATCGACCAGCGTGACGCTTGGATGCCACGCGGCTGTGCATTGACGTCGAAGCCGGTGCTGATTTAAGCGAACAGGTTGACGCTTGGATCCCACGCGGCTGTGCATTCACGTCGAAGCCGGTGCTGATTTGAACGACCAGCTTGACGCTTGGATGCCACGCGGCTGTGCATTCACGTCGATCTCGGTGCTGATTTCAACGACCAGCTTGACGCTTGGATGCCAGCGGCTGTGCATTCACGTCGAATTTAGCGACCAGCTTGAAGCTTGGATTCCACGCGGCGGTGCATTCACGTCGAAACCGGTGCTGATGTGAACGATCAGCTTGATGTTTGGATGCCACATGGATGGCTGTGCATTCACGTCGACGCCG